GACTGGTTAAATCTTATCTGATTAATGGCATATGTAAATTAAATTCTGTATCCAATTTTAAATTATACTGGTACAAAATTTTTTTACAAGAGGAAATTAAAGAATGTGATTCTAGGTTACTGAAAAAAAATTCAAATGAAAGAGAAAGCATTACACACATACAAAAATTGGGAAGGCTAAAAAATCAGTTCAGTTGTAACAGAAAAGAAAAAAGGAAAAAAACCCCACAACTGACAAGCTCTGTTTTGGCTCTTCAACGAGGACAGATTTTTTCTTTAGACAAGAACAGGTCTGCTTGCATGAGAAAATGGTACTGCCTGGTGGGAGTTAGTTTTAGTGGAATAAGTGAGATAACAGAAGAAAAAAATGCCCGTAGAGGCCTCTGTGCATCCGAGGCATCCAGAACTACAAATGCTTTCAGACTCAGATCTTTTATCACTGAAACCTTATGTGATCATTCAGTCTCCAAGCAGCCTGTTCTTGCTAGTTTGAGTTTGATAAATGAAACAAGTGGTTACATGGTTGTATTTGACAAAAGTTGTATAAAAGCTTGGCAGGTTTGCAGAGATTTCAGCAATTCCAATTAGAAAAATGGAAGAAATATTTCCCATGACACAGCAAGCCACAACCATTGAAGTCAGTACAATTTAACTTCCCTGAGTCTGTGAGATCTCCTGGACTTTTAAGGAGAATCATTCTGAATCACTGCTAACTCTTTTTTCTCACAGCACTGTCTGGAATCAGCTTCTCTAAGGTGCAACCAACAAAACTGATTGAAAGAGTAATATAGTGTAATTACTGCATAGACATAGTATACTTACTAATATGTACTAATGCTAGTACAATGCACACAGAGTTATTTTCCTTTTAAGCACTGCTGTACTCCTGATGCTGTTTATTACAGAGAAGCTTGTATTCTTTTTCTGGAATCTCTTACAAAGCTTTTTGCTGCCATGCTCTGTACTCAGCTGTCCTCAGCCAGAAAATTTTATGTACTGTGCAGTTAACCCCAGCAAAAGTTATCTACTGTGTTAAACACAGGCACAAAACCATCAGAGTTCAACATTTTTTTACAAACTAAACTGAAATAAAATTACAGATTTAATTTGAAGATGTCTCAGATCCTAATCTCTGAGATCTGTGTCTCCGAGACCTCCAAAGTCCAGGCTTTGCCTTATCTGGCAGTACTGACCACTACAAATACCAACACATCTTCAGAATGTCAGCAAAGATGTCCTATTAAATATTTTCCTCTGTCTTTTTCCTCTTTGATAAATAGCAAAATCTACTTTAATGCATCAATTTTCATTAACAAGCTTTACAAATACCAGCAGAACTTACAAAAGAAGAACAGTGATTGGCAATAAAGCCCATACAGATGTATTTCTGTGCCCACGAAGGAAGCAGCTGTTTGTTGAATTTAGGATAATGAAATCTTCCTTGACATACAGACTGTGAACAACAACATGTTGGCTTATGCAATGTGTATCAACAATTCTTGTTAGTTTTCATAGCTTCAAGGCTTATCAGACCATTTTTCTGCATTTCTCTGAACAAAGTTTGAGCCACAGATGTTGGAAAGAAAACAGACGACAAATACACTGGAGAGTATAGTAAATCTGCAGACTCTGGTGTAGACTTTGTCTGTGTCCACTAAAACTGTATTCAAACAGGGAACAAAGTAAATAGCAAGCAGAGTTTGTCCAAAAATAGCTCTAAATGCTGTCAGTATAAGAGATGTTAATGATAGATACATCATCCCTTTGTTGGCTTCCACAGTTCTACAAGGGGATTCAAGTCTTTAATAGCTTTCTCACTAAGAGAAACATTTTCGTAAGCTAGGTGACCTTCAATACTGAGTAACAGGAACTGCTCTGCTAATATGGTTACATGTAGGGAAACATGGTTTGAAGGTTATAGACAAGTTCAAAGTGCATAACAATTTATACCTGAGAAGATTTAACTGTGCAGCAGCTGATTTTGTAATTAATAGGCTCCTTCTACGTTTATTCTCGTCCCACATATTTGGGGGATAGGAATTTACAGGGTCTAACTTACACATTGACTTGTCAAAATCTTATTTCATTATCATTCTTAATCCATCCAAGTTGGACCTGAGCCATGGATGATGTCTAATCTTACTGGAACTAGATTTCATATCTGCTTATTGTTTTGCTTTCTGATGTTGATCTTTTTTTGTTAACTGGTTCAATGTGTGATAACTGCTCCTTGAAAGCCTTCTCAACTGCATTATTCAAAGTTCTTTAAGATTTGAAGTTGGGACTTTCAGTAGGATTTATTTTATTATTATTATAAAGAGTTAAGGAATATAGTATTTCTGTGCCAGATATTAAGTCTATTTTATGACCAAGGGAAACTACACAGCATTTTACTGATTATTCAGAGTAAGAAATAGAATATAGACCTGATAAATATCTGTAATTGTTTCACTAATAAGCATTCGAAGACTATTTCTGAACAAAACAACATTATTTAGTCCTAATCACAACATTCAACTTAACTGCCAAAAGATGATTTGAGAGAAAAGGAATTTTGTAAATATTACAAATTATTTCAGAAAATCACCTGGGGATAAATTCAGGGATGGAGGAAAGCTAGATTTTGCGAAGTTTTATTTACATATGTAGTTATTTGAATATGTGATTATATTTCCCAGTGTAATTTGGAAATTTACATGTGCTTTTGACTTGTAAAGTTTTGGATTACTGTACCCTTTGTAAGCAAAAATAATTGCCTCTAGAGCAATGATCTTCTACCCACAGAGCCCAGTTCTGAATTTTTATGTTTAGCTCCTCCTGATCCATTTTCTCTGCATCTGGCAGATGCATAACAAACACTCAGTTCCTGCAAGACAGTTTATCCCATTCTTTTTCAAGGAATACATTTTTCATCCCTTCTCTGTACTTCCTAAAATATTTTTAGTCCATCATGATTCCTCTGAAGGTATTGCAGGTGATAAAATAGAGACAGATAATGAGTTCTATTCATTTGTGCTACATCTCTGATAAGAGACTAGAGGTTAAGAATTTTCCATGGTAACTAGAACGGCTGAAAGTTCTTTTGACAATAACATGATGGATTCCAATTTTAGTTATTTAGAAATAAATATGGTACTTTAAGAAAAGTTACTCCAAAGATACCCATTATTTAACTTCTTACTCCAGGTAAGAAGACTAGTGTTCTACTTGAGGGGCCCTGACTCTAGAAAAAAAAATAATTTTCAAGCTTGGGTGTAAGGTAAAAGTATCAATTTCCAAGAAACACATGGCAGACATTTCCAGTGTCTACAGCTTTGGTAGGTGGGGTTCCAGAGAAAGGAGAGGTTTGTTGGAGATGAAGACTTACAGCCATACGTAAATATATACATTTGGGAAAAATTTGTGTAGTTTAATAATTCACTGTTGCTTTGATTACCTTCCAATGCTTGAAGTTAATTGCCTGACTAAATTCTTACGAGCGTTTTACATTTTCTCTTACAGTTTATTATTTGCTGGATTGGCCTGTTGTGAGAATGGAGGGTAATTATTCATCACGAGCATATTTAAGGTCCTTTCTGCCATCTGCTAGCTGTACATGCTTATGCAGCGCAGTAATCGATTTTTTTTTAATGTACAAAATTTCTGTACTTTTGGTGAAGAACTGCAACTTAGAGAAAAAACATTCAGCTCCATTTCAGTGTCTAGGGTAATCACAGATCAAGTGACGTGCGACATTTTCCAAAACCTCTCTGGGTGGAGTTGCCTTTTTATGAGTTAGTGCAAAAATGGAAAATAAGTGGGACTGAAAAAATTACTGTTTTGAAGAGAGGGAAAGTGGATATAGTGTATCTGCTACAGAAAGGCATTCTATTCCTTTTGGCACAGTAAACTTAATTAAATAGTTACATTTTAAAATCTTTATGAGAATCTTAATTATTAATGACATCAACAGGTTGAAAAAAATGTAGGTTAGGTGTGGGGAGAGTTTGGCTCTGCAAAAAACATTACTTAAAAGCAATTTTTTTTTGCATGACTGAGCACATGTGCACGCAGACTAGATAGTCACACTTTACAATGAGGTTACAGTTATAAATTATTCATAAAGTGTTGGTAAACACTGTAGGCTATTACAGAATCCACAGAGTCCATAGTTTTGTTATAACTATGTGTAACACCCTCAAGTAATGTGCCACCACGTATAATTTATGAAAGTAATATTAGTAGTATTGTTTATGATGTATATTAATAATTTATTAATCCTTTATGAACTATTTATAAATGCAATCTTAATGGAAAGCATGGCTGACTAGTTACTCCATCACACTAGCTGTATGGGAGTTAAAGGTTGCATGCCTCCGCCCCTGCTTTTTAACAAGCCAAGTAATCTTTAGACAAGGCAACTCTCACTATTTCCTTACATGCTCCTAGGAAATTAGAAATCTGAGAGAAGCATTACAAAGAGGTTTCACCTGTAAGAAAATGCACAGAATCCTTTTTTACATCTTCTCCAATATTTCAGTAGAGCTACCACAGGTCCATTAGACAAAACTCCTTGCAGTTGTTCCATGCATATCAAAGTCTATGAAATTTTGATACCTTAGGATTCTTGTATAGTTTGGTACATCAGACCAACAAAACATAGGCCATATTTCTACGAACTGAGCAGAGGAGGGTTGCTATGTAGGTGTGCATATCCATCAATCCTTATGGTATCTACCAGAAAATGGGTGATGTAACAGAAATTACTACTATAGTCTAGACTACCATAATGTCTAGGAAGAGATCCTGGCTTGCAGGATTATTTTTCTGCCCCAGAGAATTTCTGCCTGCCAAGGTACAGCTACTTCTGCTTGCAGCAAGCAAGTTCCACTAACTTTCATGTGACAGTGCAGTTTTATCGCTGCTCTTTGCTTCTTTATGCATGCTGAGAAATCTCTTGCTGAGGCATTTGAGATTGGAGTATCATCCCCATTCATTAATTCTTCACTTATTCTTTTGCAGGAAACAGACCTCATTCTGACTTTTAATATCTCAATGCATCGTTCTTGGTGGATGGAGAATGGGCCAGGCTGCACCGTGACCTCAGTAACCCCAGCACCAGACTGGGCACCAGAGGATCATCGTTATATCACTGTCTCGGGGTGTTTTCTTGAATATCAGTACATAGAGGTGGCTCACAGTTCTCTTCAGATCTTCCTTGCAGTAAGTGTTTATAGATAACTTCACTTCCACCATCTTTTCTGGATTTCTTCTTGTCATTATCGGAATAGCAGAGGATTGTGACGTTCATTCACAAACCCTGGCTCTAAGTCTTAGTTTAGTTATGAAATTCTGTTCTCTTTCAACTAGTTTGAGATACCTACATGCAAAAACCTCCAACATACATACTTATTATTCTTCTAAGAACTGCTGACATGATACACTCTGCTTTCCTGGCCTCGATTTTGACCACTGAGTGTCCCACAAGCCTCTGATAGCAGGTTACATTCAAATGACACTATAGTATATAACTCGTGACATAACAAGAAGTTACAGCTATTGTTGTGAAAGCCAAATTGAATATAAAAGAAAATCCAACAGTAAAAACAGATTCACTGATCAGTGTGCAGGACTCAAATCTCATCAATTTCTCTTTAACCATATTAATCCATAGGCATTGGAGTACAATGGGAAAAGTTTTCCAAAAAAAAATGTTGTATATGAATGAAAATCAAACCCAGAAATCTTAAATCTTTTTTAGGAGTATAAGAATCCACTGTTACACTGCAGAAAATTTCAAAGGGATGAAAGCCACTTGTTTTCAGGGAACAATATATACTGGGGGCCACAGTTACCCAAAAAAGTGAGCAGCTTTTCCATCTGTCTATTCCCCAGTGTTTGTTATCACTCAAGTTTAACTCATGGAATTATAGCTTCATGGAATCATTTTGATTGGAAAAGACCTTTAAGATCATCAAGTCCAACCCTCAACCCAGCACTGCCAAGCTCAACAATAAACCCTGTACTTAGTGCCACATCTACACATCTTTTAAATACCTCCAGGAAAGGTCACTGAACCATTAACCTGGGCAACCTGTTCCAATGTTTGACAATCCTTTCGGCAAAGACTTTTTTTTAATATCCATCCTAAACCTTCCCTGGTGCAAGCTTGATTCTGCCCTGACACAAGCCAGGATGCCATTGGCCTCCTTGACCACTTGGACATATGGCTGGCTTATGTTCAGCCAGTTGTTGACCAGGACCCCTAGGCCCCTTTCTACCTGGCTGCTCTCCAGCCACTCTGCTTGTAGCACTGCCTGGGGTTGTTGTGACCCAAATGCAGGACTCAGCACTTGGCCTTATTGAACCTCATGCCATTGGCCTCAGCCCATCAATCCAGATTCCTCTGTAGAGCCTTCCTACCTTTAAGCCATCAAAAGGAGATAACTAGGACAATTTTTCTACCCTTTTTTTTTTTTAATTTAATGAATGATGAACAAGAAACTTAAGGAATATATAGTTCAAGGTCAATTCTGTTCCTGATGCAACAAGGTTTTCAGTGTTTCTGTGTTTAAATAGAGCTGTGTTTCTAGAGTCATTCTTTTCAAGTCAGCGTAATGGTTCAAAATAACAAACCATTGGTATTTTGCCAGCTGTAGCCAACTACATCTGCATTATATTTCCATTTGTGTTAATCTAATCGTGTTAATCACTTACATGATTACCATAAGTAAAGAGTTGCTTGTGTGGGTCAGTTTTCCAAATCTGGTGCTTGACTACTGTTTCCATTACTTTTGCATTCCCAGTTGTGGTCATGGGGTTCTTTTTCTAATAGAAATGCTAGTCTAAATTCACTATCATATGAAATGTTATGAGAAACAGAAGAATTACCTGGTACTACTCAGTGACATATAACACAAAGGAAGAAGAGCAGATACTGCTTGTTTTCCAGCAAATTAGCTGTAACAAACCCAAGCATTAGATCTGACCTATCTCCAGTTAGTAGAAAAAAATTAATCTTTCCCTTCAATTTTCTTTTATGGACACTTAAATAGAAATCGTACTTTACTTGTAAACCTAAATTTCAACCTGTGAATTGGATACTTGTTTTCTATTTGTATTTCTGTACGTTCATGACAATGATCATGCTAACGCTGACCTTGGCTTTTTCATGGACCGGTGGCACTGCAGCATGTTTTTAAGGATGCTTTCTACTGCCTACAGACAAAAAGTTACAAAGTTATCCTGCTTCATTGAGGACCACTTATATCTGCCTTTGGAAACATTATACTGAGTTTATTTTGTACTGCTTGGCTGTAAGCTCACAGGTAATGCAACTACAGAAGGTTAGGCTTCATGTAGATGTGATAATTGCAGTGGAGAGTGAAAAGAATATGACAGCTAAGATAAAAACTATAAGGCCTTCATGGTTTGTACTTTCTAAAAAGCAAGTCTTAAGGTGGGCTGTGAAATATTTCAAGGATTCCAGACAGATATTCTCCTGATGAGGTGCAAAAAATCTCATAGTCTCCAAGAGAACTTCTCACCTCAGAGAAATGTGTCCCAGAAGCAAACAACACGAGACTGTGCATCATAAAAATGCTGCTGCCAATTTTGTGTAAGTAAACATAGATTCTAGATTTTTAAGGGTGAGATTTTGGAGACTTTTCATTTCTCCTACTTCTTAAACAAAATAGCAATTAAGACAACCAGAAAGTTACATAATCCAAAAAGTCAGGGGAGTCCCCAGTGTGCACAGTGGTGGCATTCATTTTGTAGTACCAGCCTTAGAATAGTAGAGAGATAGATGTGATGATGCATAGATATTTTGCCAGCTTCACCTGAGGAGTGTATTTTGTTCAGGTTAAAAAAATAACTGGAAAAAATTGCTAGTTTAGCTCACACTGAAGTAATAGAAAATTCAGTTTGGTGGTCTCTATACATCAACCAGCAGAATGCTCATGGTTTAGAAAAACTTCAAAATAGGAAAAAATTATTTCCAAACTAATGTGTTGAATAAAATGCTCTGATAAATAAAGAATTATCCCAGTTTGGGTATTTAGCATTTATGTGTACGCAAAGCAGGGCTAGAATAACCCACAGTGATAATAAGGACAGCAAAGCAGCCACAATCACTCCTTTGTCCCATGACACAGAGCACTTATTGCATTGGGTGATGTTTGTGGAAGACTATAGCCTCTGTAGAGCCTAACAATATATCAATTCTTGTATCACATATGCAAAAAAATGACCACATAATGCACATTTATATCTGTCTTGTAGCCATTCCCATGTCAGCACATTACATCTTGCTCAGTTGATGTCATATTTTTTTTTCATGTTTATGGAAATCTATTTTGAAAAGCTTCTACTGCTTCTTTACTCAGTTATTGTGGTAGTTGCCTCTCTGAAGTGAATCAGCACCAAAATCTCAGTGCAACACACCATGTTAAGTCAATTTTTAATCTGTTCTTCATATCCATACCTCTCGCTTAATTCTTTTCAGACTAGGTCACATTGCTATCACTTTATCTCTGCATATTACCATCTTCCAGCAAGTTAAAGAGAGAAAGGGATTCTGAGTGAATGCAAGGAAGGGGAATCTCTTTCGTTCTTAAGTACAGCTTTGCAGGCTTGCAGTGCTGTAAAATAAACAAACATGTTTTGTGGGCGTGTCCTGCAGCACACAGATATATGGAACTGAATAGAACCGTCAAAGGCCAGATTTTCTCTGCTTTCTGTGAAACCCTGGGCTCTGGGAAAACATCTGGAGAGATCCAGAAGGGCCAGTGGTATCCTGGGATGCATTGGGAAGAGTGTGGTCAGCAGGTCGGGGAGGTGATCCTCCCCCTCTCCTTGGGCCTAATGAGACTACATCTGGAGTACTGTATTCAGTTCTGGTCTCCACAGTTCAAGAAAGAAAGGTGGTACAGAAGAGGGTCCAGTGGAGTGCCACAAAGATGATTAGGGCTCTGGAACTTCTCTCTTATGAGGAGAGACTGAAGGAGCTGGGCCTGTTTAGTCTAGAGAAGAGAAGACTGAGAGGGGATCTCAGTAACACACATAAATATCTCAAGAGGGTAGTGCAAGACTCTTTTCAGTGGTGCCCAGTGACCGAAGGAGGGGTAATGGCCATAAACTAAAACAGAATAAGTTCCATCACAACATGAAGAAGAACTTCTTTATATTGAGGCTGGCAGAGCACTGGCTCTGACCAGGGAGATTATGGATTCTTCCTCTCTGGAGAAATTCAAAACCCACTTGGACTCAGCTCTGGATAACCTGCTCTAGATGACCCTGCCTTGGCAGGAGGGTTGGACTAGATGATTTCCAGAGGTTCCTTCCAACCCTAAAAATTCTGGGATTCTGTATTTCTATGGAACAATTCCCTCATTTCCTGCCCTCTCCAATTCTTGGTGAATCATAGCTGAATCTGCAAAGATGAGATCTTAGCTTCATCACACTTTGACAGCAACAGTTATTTAATGCTTTGCTGATACATGCAGAAAAAAGGCATCACTTTGCCACAGCTAATTCAATTGTTTTACTGAACAAAACTAACCCTTAATGTAGCCTATGCTCACATACCAGGTAAAACTCTCCACTCAACTGTTCTCTCCCAGGGAAGTCTCATTTACAGAGCTACGACATCTTGAGCACCTGGCCGAATCCGTATGCTCTGCAAGGACCACAGCTCTGCCTGTCCATGGTGCCTACAAATTACCAAAATGAACTGGTATATGACTTGTATACCCATATGCTTCAGACAATAAAACATACTTATGTGCTTAATGGTTATTGATTCTTGTTGCTTACATTAGAGAAGCTATTTCATTTTCAGGCCTACTGGGTTATCAGGGATAGATATACTTAAATTACTGATCTCTGGAGAGAATTCTTCCAGGTAAAGAATGAGGTCAGTGATACTAATGGGGATTTGATTTGCAACTATTTGAGTTTCATTCTGTATAGTATTTACAGAGTGGAAGGCTGAATGGTAGTTCCCACCCATTCCTAAACAATAGGAGGTACAGCTGTCACTTCACCATGAAGAGGGCAGCACTTGGGAGGGACACAGTGCAGGTTATACACACCTGCTAACCTTGGCATGTAACGTCAGGGCTTAAGGTGGTCATTGACTCTGTGTATAAATAGTATTTGCATCCCAGCCTTTCAGTCATACAGCTGAAAAAGAGTCATAAGCTCGCAGTCCACAAGCCCCCCCCCCCCACATCAATGTCTAGTTATATCTACAGAACCCATGTACAATATTTTTCAATTGCACTTTTTATTGAACTCCTTTTTTTATAACAGAAGGGGGAAATCTTTTCAGTTCAGACCCTGAGCTGTGGTTAAGATCAGTGGGTTCTGCTTCCAGGTCTACCACAATGTCCTTTGGAAAATCATTTCATCTCTTTGTGCCTCTTCCCAAGTGCTGCAGAGAGGAAAACATGCCTAAATTTTTCATGTTCAGTTCATAAGACTCTATACCATTTGCATAGATAGAGATCTCTTGAATATCTTGAAAAAACCCTAAATGCCGATGACACCAAGTACAGTAAGTCCTTTGTGTGGTACAAGGAAATTATAGCAATTGCAATTGCATTTCATACAGAAATGGAGCTCAGATTCTCTATATTTTCCTTCTGCCTGAGTTTTATTCTTTGATTATGCATGACCTGCCCTCACTCCCACAAGTCTGTTCTTGCAAAAGTCAACAAATTAAAATCCATTTGTAGATCAAAACTGAAAATATGCAAATAAAAGATCAGCCTTGGAGATAAGTGTGACAGAATTATATCTATTTGCCAGCAAAGGATTAAGGGTATTTAGTATGCTTGTCTTTTACTTCTCACTTACACATTCAAAAATCTATTGATTTTAGTAGAGCTAAGTGCCCGAGTTATGGGAATAAGACTAATGTGAAGGCCTCACCTTAGCCAATTTGGGCTTTAGTTATATAGACCTCAAAAAGATGAACTGTGTAATATTATTGCAGTAAAATAAGTGGAGGAAAAGCATTTCTTAGGTACTTATCTGCATTATTGATGGTAATTTACATACCAAATAAATTAAACTATAAGTAAACTGTTACACAAAAATATTGACCATTTTCATAGTGATCCTGTCCACTGACTTTTATGTGCTGTATATTAGTCTTAATTCCTTTTTGTTCCTTCCTGTATTTAAACTTGAGTATATGCTTCATGCAGTCATTAAAATTATTATTTCATGCTTTAAAATTTGTAATATGTAATTATCCATCCATAGTATTTACAGTAAATGCATAATGTTTGGGACTCTGCAAAGTCTGCATCATGCATAATACTTTTCAAGCTCTGATGCTGTCAAATTGATTTAAACATCATGGAGCATAACTGTGTTACTAAGATGCAATAATACATCTATGAAGTTAGGATGCCAGCATCAAAATCTGCTCTGCTGCAGACTTACCACATGACCTTTGGCAGGGTGCTTAATTCATGCCAATTATTGTCTGTACAATACAAACAATGTTTCTTAAATATTTCAGAAAGATGCTGCCAGGATAATTCCATTAAACATTGTAGGTAATCAAATATTATGGAAACGTGGTCTGTGTATGTATTTAAGCACTTAGAACAGTAGAATAGCATTAATGTTCCCTGCTTCTCTCAAGGATTAATAATAATTAGAATAGGGTACTCTTAAAATCCTTAATGTTAACATAGCACAGGTGACATTAAATAGTCTCATGCCCTTGTGGAGAGATAGGAATTGCGAGTAAGAGTGTACTCTCATAGGAATTTATTTACTGGACTGTCTATATGTGCTTTAGACCTCCATGCTCAAATATGTTTCTGACAGTCTACTACTTAAAGGTTCTCGACGCTGCTGAAGAAGTATGATTCAAAAAAAAACCAAACCAAAACCAAAAACAAAACCAGCAGTACCTGTCGAAAAGAACCAGTCTTCGAAGTACAAAACAAGCCAGCCAGCCCATACGGACAAAAAAGGAGGAAAAGATAGGAAGATGGAGAGAGAATACTAGTTTGCAATTTCATTGCACCTCCTGTTACTGTGTGCAATTTTGTTCTCTGCAATACAAGACACTCAGCTATTAGACAGCATTCAAAGGAGGGGAACAAAGATGGTGAAGGGCCTTGAGGGGAAGCCGTATGATGAGTGGCTGAGGTCACTTGGTCTGTTCAGCCTGGAGAAGAGGAGACTGAGGAAGACCTCACTGCATGCAGTTTACAACTTCCTTGTGAAGGGAAGAGTGAGGGCAGACACTGATCTCTTCTCTGTGGTGCAGTGACAGGACCCAAGAGAATGGCCTGAAGTTGTGTTAGGGATGTTTAGGCTGGATATTAGAAAAAGGTTCTTCACCCAGAGGATGACTGGGCACTGAAACAGGCTCCCCAGGGAAATGGTCACAGCACCAACCCTGACATGGTTCAAGAAGCATTTGGACAATACTACCAGGTACATGGTATGACTCTTGGAGATGATACTTGTGGGTCCCTTCCAACTCGGCATATTCTGTGATTCTGTTTGACCATTTTCAGCTTTTTTGTAGGCATGATAGAAAAGTAAAAAAAAAGGGCTATGATTCAGAATGAGTAAACTTTGTATTATATGGTAGAAAATTCTCCTTAAAGGCAGCAAAAGATGAAAGTGTGTAAAAGTTTGAAATTTATGAAGTAACTGAAAAGAAGATGGTAGCTCATCAACAGTGCGCTCTCATACTGACAGGAGGGGACAAGCCAGGTGGGACAAGTCACAGAGAGCCTTGCAAGAGAATGAAGTAGTTGAATTTCACTGGAAGAAACTAAGTAGAAATGGAAAGATAAAGCAAGATGTGGAAAATCATCTCAGGTGGGTTCAGTTTAGACTGAGACACTGTCAGGAGCAAGGAGAGGATATGGCATGGGAGGAGAGGCAGGATGATCCTCTGAAGCTGAGACTCAGAGTGAGAAAATAGGTCATCAGCAGGACAGCAAAGGTTAAAGAAACAGAAGGTTTGTAAAACTTCTGCATTTAGGGCAGAAAAGGAAAACAAGCCTTTTGAAAGGGGAAAGTACTTTTTTTTTTGTGGTTTTAATTTTTTTTATTTTTTATTTGGGAAGATATTGATAAGACCTGAGCAGAGAGAAAGGCTAGAAGTTCCTCTACAGACACCAGCAAATGATAGAGCAAGACTAAAAGAATCGTGCAGCAGGTATATCAGCAGGACAGACTGCATGATAGGAGAAAAGGCAAAAGAGCAAAGGCAGAGGAGATGGGGGAGTCACAGGACTGCATGAAAAATAAAGCTGCCTAACTAATGATGTCACTAGGAATGAGGCAAGCAGCAAAATAGTGTTTCTGTGAGTCCCAAAGCATCCATGAGTGGAAGCAAACAAAACACAAGTTGGCCCTGGCTTGTGCAAGTTGAAATGCTAAAACTAAATTGTCAAGTCCTTTTGTCACAGCTGCAAAGAAACAATCTAAGAACTGGTACTGTAGTAAAGGTCTTCACTGAGTTCAGATGGTTAATACTGATCTTTTAGGAAGAGTCACCTATTGATTACCCTTCAGGTTCTGCTAATAAACCAGCATATTCCATTCCTGTGCTCAAAATACATACAATGTACTATGCTGGGGAAAAAAAATAAGATAAAGATCAGATATATTTGCTGCTAGTTCAGCAAAGCTCTTGCAAAACATCTGACCCTCAAATATAGCAGTAAACTTATTCTGAGTTCTTAATTTTCTGGTCTCCTCTAGCCATCATAAAGGTCTTCAGTTGTGCAGGAAGCACATCTTGCCCTCACTTAGATCTACCTATGCTAATTTTGTTTCCCCATCTCCCTTCTGACAGTAGCCTCTACCTCTTCTACACACATGCATGTCATACACATACCTTGCACATCAGCTACCTTCTCCTGTGCTTGTAGAGTAGTGAGGATATTTATATGCGAGAAAGGAGACGAGCTTTAGTCAAGTTTTGACTCTTTGAACCTAGTGGAGAAAAATAACATTATTTAATTAAGGCAAAGTTGTTTTCTAGGGCAACATACAGACTGAAAGAAACTTGGTTCTTAATGATATAGATTGGTACTTTAAAAAGACTGGTTTTTCACTGTGGGATTGGGCAAAATCAGCACAATGGGAAGAGGGTATGAATCATTGTAAAGTGTTAATTTAATAACACTGTCGTGCCGTGTTAGCAGAGGCAACATCAGGTTCAGACATCTTTGACATTGGCTCAGAGCACAGTATATTGCTGTTTCTCTGTTTGACAATAATGCTAAAGCGTATGTCGTTAGTGTTTTGAAGGATTGCTATAAGAGATTTTTTTATGCTTATACATCTCATCTGTTATTGCTTCTATCAAATTTTACCTGCATTTCTTCACTACTTCTTGTAAAAAATTGAATTGCACACATCAAAGCATAAACATTTTTTATAAAGCAGGGAGCTTTGTCAGTAGAATTGTACTCATTTCCCTAAAATCTTCCCTCCTTAATGAACTGTGTTTCTATAAAGCCAAGGTATATGATAATTGTCTGAAAAAATAGTTTGCTTCAATTCAGAAGAGAGAATTTGGGTTTAAACAGTCTTACCCGACAATGCACATGGAATTGTCTCTGAAAGGATTATTTCCCTGATACAATGAAAGAAAACAGCACCAGCATGAGCTGAGACAGGAAGAAGCCTCTCTCACAGACCTTCTTGCACTAG